CTCTTAAGTTTAGTCAGTCTTAATGTCTATAGCATAGTATATATATACTGGACCGCCAAAATTTTTTTGAACTTATCATTTTTTCTAGTATTTTACAATTGTGACTGATTTGAGTTCTTAATGCAAATGAAAATAAAAAATTAGTAAGAAATATGAATTTTTTTCTAAAATTACTTGCCGACCCCTGGTCTAGAGGTTACTGATTCAAGAATTTAATACCCATATATGATGGAGATTTTTCATAAAACGATATTCTATGGGAAGGTATTCTTAATACATTGCTATATCTAGTTTGGTAACTGTGACTGTCACAGTTTCTAACAACATAACTTCTCTTTTTTAAAACAGTTCATACACCATCTAGATACTAGTGAAATCACTTCAGCCTACATAGACGAAGTAAATGTTTCAAAACAAATAGAACAAGGGATATCCCTCACAGGCTGTTCTAATTTCTCTATAAATGTTTACAATAAATAAAATTCTAATTTTTAATTTAGCTACATCAAAATGATTCTAATGCCTAGACAGTAAACGTGATATTTTAGTGCCTGATAGCTATCACTGAAACTACGCCCTTAATCAGCGAAAAATAAAACATTAAAATCACGTACGTAACATTAGTTTAGATCTCACATCAGAGAAGACCTTGGCCAGTTCAACTATTGCACTTTTAATATGCATTTTGACAATTTGACGTAGTTTTTCATTTCGGTAATCAATTTTAAGCTAAGGAGAGGCGATGACTCTTATATCCGTAGGTATATCGGATTCATGAATATGGATGAATATGATGCTCGATGTTGATTTGCAGCTTTGTTATAATAATAGTCATTCTCTTATTTCAATTAATTTTGCATTAAATAGATATTGGTCTTATTTTTGCCGAAATTGTAACGCGCTAATTTTTTTATACTTTCACATCGGAACACCCTGTATAGTATATCCTGTGCGTAACAAGTGTAATAAAATTTAAGATATTGTATTTCGTAGATTTTCACTGATCTATTCCATTTTTAATGTCCTTGAGACCTCAGAAGAAAATATTATTCTTTCCATAGTCAAAATAAACATAGATGTAAATTAAATCATCTATAAATATTATTATAAGTAAGTCCATAGAGATTGTATTGACTTTTAAAACATAATTCATTCTTTAATAGTAAACTGGTGAAAAATACTTTCACAATTCATACATAAATCTACAAAAGATTGCATTAACAATATTACAACAAAGACAGACATGATAAAACCAGCTTTAGATCGACTTAATATTCACCTCGCCTGATACGAAACAGGGAATAAATCATTTTTAATTAGAGTTCCATTGCTGAGATCCCCAATTTAAAGCTCTTCAAAGAAGCTGAAAAATTATAAAGCTCCAGACAGTAAAGGAGAAATCGGGAGGTGTTAAAGTGCTCTTTGAACATTGAAGGATTTGTTTGAGATGAAAAAAGGCGAAACTAATTCGTTCTTAATTCCTTTCTTGGAGAAGAATGAGAAATTCTCAGGAGCATGCTCTAGTTTTATGTAACGTAGATTGAATTTGCTTCTGCGGATTTTTTCAGGAGCAGTCTTTAATAATGCCTGCTAATAATAAAACAATTAATAAAAAGAAAACAACACAAATCTACAATAAAAATCTTCCTCAGTGCTAAATAATTTCGAGTATAATGTTTCTACAAAGTCTCTTTTTTGCATATATTATTTTGCATCGTGAAAGGCGAATAATAAATTGTAGGTACTTGTTATAAATCCAGAAAAAAGTAAGTCAGATTTTGTTGGATTCGAAGATCTAGCTAACCAATCATAGAAAATGTAGTACTTATATTTTCTATGTAACCAATTAACCCTTTATATACTGGGTGCTTCCTAAGTACGATCCGTAACTTCATGACACAATTTCTTATGGTATTTAAAGAAAAAAGTTCCTATAAACATGAGGCCGGAAACGCTTACATTCCGAGATACAGGGTGTTGAAAATAAAAAAAATAGGTGTATTAATATTTAAAATAAATTTAGAACAGTCAATGTTAGGTTCTTAAAATTTGGCAGCTATTCTACGTTGGTAAAGAGCTGCATTTTTACTATAAAGTCAATTTGTATCTGCCGCCAGTGGCGTAGTTAGACATGAGTGAGTTGACGTTTATTTATCTAATCCACAGTTTTGATTGACCACTTATAACTAGCAAAATGCTAACGTACCAACGTGTCCTAAAGTTACGGACCGTACTTAGGAAACATCCTGTATATGAAAATTGCCGATGTGAACATTATTTTTACTATTTTGGATTTGAAACAGTGCTTTTATGAGACATTCATTTTTTACACAAAACAGTAACAACAAATATGAAAAACTTCGAAAATCTGGTACTAAGAAATAAAATATTTTTTGGGTCACTTACCTTATGAAGATTGATTATGGTATTTTCCAAATGTCACATTAAATATAATATATAAAAGCGATCTATAAATACTAATCGTCTGATGACAATTATAGATGGGCAAAGAACAAACAATAAAAGAATAGATTGGAATATAAAACAACGGTAAAACTTAATATAAAAGATATTGTAATTAATATCTAACATTTAATATTGAAAATGGGCATTCTTGTTACAAAGAAAAGTGCAGGTATTTATATTAAAAACTAAATCATTTTAACTCTTCACTATATTCCTATAAACTTTCATCAGATTAGTCTGAATCCACATTAGGTGCTTCTAAATCTTTGAATGGTTCTGACAGCAAGAAAATCCGGTCTGGACTAATCCTTTATGACTTTCTTCTGAGGTGTACCTTAAGCTAGTTAATAAAGCACACGCGAAACTCTTTTTAGTGTAATCATTCCGTATTACTCTTTACAAACAGACCATGAGGTACAGTCCGTACGACGTTTGTTGAGATATTGAAGAAGAGCCTTGCATCATATTCTTGGAATTAAGTGCATTCGACACCCGAGGTAGAAGAAATTGGCGGAAAATTTCAAGGCACGCCCCTGCGCGGTAAATTGTTACAGTAGTTCTTAGAATTCTACCTCAACAAATATTGTATGGACTGTATATGCCGTTTACACCATTTTATATCGATTTGCTGACAGAGGGTTTTCAAAAACACTTTTCCAGGCAGAACTGCATTGTTATGTTTAGTTTTACTAGCAGAAATCCACAGTTTCTTTTAATGTAATAATGAGAGCGAATACTACACCTAAAAACGATTACAAAAAATAAAAATTGACTGTCATATTCACACTTATAAGAAAGTTCTGTTTACAGTAATTTGATTTCGTAAACAAATTGGAGTAACTTTGATCTGTATATTTTCTAAATTTAGTGCTAAACTTACATCGATGACACATACCTCAATGAACTTGACAAACTTCACTGTAATCACAAACATCAAAAACACTATGCAATACAACCTCTTAAATAAAAGAAACAAATGATGGTCTACTCGAAATAATAAATGAAAAGAGTACCTACTTGCTTTGTTGTAATTGCACCCTTAGTAATTCCTTTCGGTATTTACCTTCCAAATAATTAATACAGTTTTCTTGTACCTGGAGTATTATCATTAAGTTTACAATTAGTGCACATGCAGAGTCTAACAGAGCCGGCGCGAAGGTTTGTGGCTTTCACAGCTGACTTGCGTTTTGAACTGTTCAATTATTTACGGACATAGAACATTTTCCCTAAACAAGTTAATATTAAGTGATAAACATTGCCGTTTCACTAAAGAAAACATAGAAAAGCACGTAGTGATATGTTTTAACTCCTTCCAATATGCCACTGAAGCCTTGTCTCAACACTAAGGTTGATCGGGTAAGTGGTGTCATTTAAATTTATATAGGTATTTTATCCTCTACTTAGTCTTGCTCTTTGGTAATAGTACTATGTTGCGACATATTTTCTGTAAACATATTAATATTTTCATTCGTAATCTGAGTACGGTCCTGTTAAACTCCACGCCGCACTAAGCTTAATTATCATATACAATAAATTTGTTAATAATAGGTTGATACAAAAAACTAAAACTGACTAGCTGACCCAACAGACGCTGTCCTGTCCAAATTTCAATAAATTTGTTTGTGATCGTTTTGTGAAAAAAAAAACGTATTTATAAGTAATCATTGTATCTGTTAACGATTGTGGACATGGATATTCAATTTGGGCAGGAGTACATTCATAAGTACGTCAATGGAAAATTTCCATGCGTTAGGCTGAAATGAGCTTTTTCACATTTTTCTTCAGATCTTCCAGATTTTTGTTACAATTGAAAGCATTCAATTGAGTTATGTATTTTCATCCCGGGAGCAAAACGAACAAAACAGAAAAGGAATCAACCAAATATGTCGTTCCTATGATCGAGAGTGCATATAAAAATTATGACTTTTTTTTCGAATTTTTTTCATTTGTAATTGTACCGAATTTTTTTTTTAAAACTTTCTCAGGACCATAACGAACAAAAAAAGTATTTTGTATATCTACATTTCAAATCGTGAGTTATGGTCTCGAGTTTATACAAAAATACCATACAAAAAAGCTACCATTTATACTATAAAATATAGTAATCGGTAATGTTATAGGTCTGGCAAAAATGGCTCAAAAAAATAGAAATTATTGGCGAAAAGTGGCAATTTCTATTTTCTAATTAGCTTGTTTCAATTTTAAATTTCAACTATGAATTTTGTTCCATCATTTTGGGATACAGTGTATAGATTAGTTCCCATTGTTTATACTCCTTTTCGTTTATTGTAAGCTCAACTAAACGTTTTGACATATGGTCTGGTGGTGGATAACAAAAATTTAAAATTAAAAAAAATTTTAAAGACTAAGAGGTTGTCAAAAAAAATATTAGAAAAGAATTAGATTAGATTAGTAAAATGTGTGGACAAAATTTTGACACTATAAATAAAACACTGATCAGATGTATTTATTGTTAGCTATAAGCTTTTTATTTTATTTGCTTCTCGTAATAAAAACAATTAGTAACCTGGAAACAGTTGTGTGCTCATCTTAGATATCACCTTGTATTTATTTAAAAACTAAAAATATTGCTTATTATTATTTTCATTTGTGCTTAAATCTAATTATGTATTTGATAAACCAAAAGACGCAGTGTTTTATTCGATTTATGACAAGCGAGACTCCAACAAATTTTACATTTTATCATGCTTGAACTCGATACCATAAGCCTGACCATTCTTCGCCACACACTCCACGATTTTCTGGACCACTTCGCAATTCTCGTACTTCTTCCCTCCTATCTCCTTTTCGCACACCTCCGACAATTTCCTCAACTTGCCGATTTTGCTCAAGTCGCCCTTCATGGCAGCCGAAAAAGCAATGATCATTCCCTGCTTGCTAAATTTTCCGTCATCCATCAGCTTGACACTATTGAAAAGACATTGCAGGAAACAGCGCCCCGTTTTGGTTCTAGGAACCTTTCTCATCTTCAGGGATTCAAGGTCGGCTTTCGTGGCGCCAGTTTGAGACTGGCAGGTTTTGAGCGACGGTTTGACGCTTGACTGCAGGGTGTCGGCGAATTTGTTGATGACACTGTCGGCTGCGAGGGGATACGGCATACACGAGAAGAAAATACACACTAAAAAATAGTAAATGTTATTATATAGGGTATTTTACAATGATGTGCAAATATTTTAAGGAGGTTTTTAGAAAGTAATTTTAGGGGGGTACTTCCTATATATTTTTTTAATTTGAGTCCTCCTAAGAAAATATTCAAATCTCAAAACGGCTGAAAAAATTAGCTTTTATTTTTTTTTCACGAAAACAATCAAACTTTCAAATAAATCGAAATTTGAATTTTGGTACATTAGCAACTAGTTGAACGGTATTTTTAGGAATTCTTTTTTGTCTTCAAATATGAACTAAAAATTTCATAAAAAAAATGAAAGCTAATTTTTTCGGCCATTTTGAGATTTGAATATTTTCTGAGGGGTGGGGCTCAAATCGAAAAAATGTATTGGAAGTACATCCCCTAAAGTTACTTTTCAAAGATCTCCTTAAAATATTTGCACATCATTATGAAACACCCTGTACATTTGTAGATCTTTGATTAGGCAATTCTGAATGGAAAAGTTATTTTAAATTTTTTGTTGCTCTTTTTGTTAATGTTTTAATACAATTCAATAATAAAGTAAGAACACTTAGGTGATAGTATACGGGACGTCCCCTAAACAGCCAGTGGCGGAGATATTGTCAATCTCTTCAATGAATTCAATAAAAAAAAGTACAATACAGCCTTATACCAAATAAAAATGTATCTGGATATTTTTATATTCATCACAGTTTCAAAGCATATTCTGATTTTTTTTATTTTCATATTCAAATACATTGCAAATGTTTCAAAATGATGTTAGTAAAGAAATTTTATCACTCTGTATAACGAAGAAAAAGCATTTTTGGAAAGATATTCACATGAAACACAATTTTTATTTTTAAAAGTAATATTTACCCACACTGCCTCGAGCCTAACGCAAAATCAGTCTATATACTGCAATTAGAGACAATACCTTCTTCTTTAAAGTTATAGTCTTTCCAATGTTAATTGAAGAACCAAGAGGTTGGCAGTATGTACCAGGTTCGGTCGCTGACGCAACAACTCGGCATTGAAATATTTGAAAAACTTGTTCCCATATTTATTTAGCTATATCCATATACAGGTCTGGTCGAATTAAACAAAGAACGCGCGCGCGGGCAACACAGCCGCACTGGTCGACTAGACAATAAATCTCAGTTGTTGACAAGTGGTTGAAAAATTGCCTAGCAGTGCGGTGCAGCAATACAGAACAAAACGAATTTACCATCAATATAAGAAAATTGTTTGAGGCCATAAATAATTAAAATATGCTGTTGGCCAAATGAACATATAATAGAAAATTTCTACACATTATATACAAATTATTATAATTTTTTACCCTTAGCAGAAAACTTTTTTAGGGACGCCTATGAAGCTCATTAAATTTTATTGCTAGGCGTTTTTATACATGTTGAACTAACTTCGGAGAGACTATACCTGTATTTATTTGAAATTATTAATTAAAAAATTTTCATATAAGATTGAAATGAGCAATAGAAATATAAAAATTAATATATATTATTGTCATATCCGGCAATTTTTATAATTTTAATTTAATGATTTCCTGTTTTCTTTTGATGGAATAATGTACGAATCATACAGGGGGAACTTAAAATGTGTACATATACATATTTTAAACGAAGATATAATTCACGATGTACCTACAGTAAAAGTAATTTTTCAAAGTTGCAAATATTTCCTGAGATATATTTTTTTTTAATTTACCCATCGATACAATTTGAGAATCGTTGTTGACATAAGTAATCATTTATGCATGGACAGCAATGTACAGAAAATATTGTCAGGTCATGTGTCGAGCAAACCCCAATCTTTTAGTTTAAAATCAAGTTAAATCTAACTCTAGAACGCTTTAAGAATTCTAGTTTTAAGACTGGATTAAGATTAAATTATACAGTACTATATATATATCTATTTTTTTTCTTTTTTTCATAATACGGAAAACCCTAAACACTTGTTAAGTTAATTTTAATAAACTTAAAAAACCATCATCAAATTTAAAATTGCTCTATTTAAGAAGCAATTCTACTAAATTACTTCAAAAGTAAATAAAACAAAATATGATTCTTAAGTTCTTATTATACTACAAGCGACAAAAACACATGTCTAATATATTGTCTGAATTGGTTTAATGCACTTAAAATATAATAAAAAATATGGAAGCTAATAACAGAATTTTTTAAAAAGTTACTAGCACTTGAACAATAAGCTACTTGAGTTGTAAAAATAGTTACCTACAAAAAAATAGTTGAGTCAACTACCTGTCAAGGCAAAATTGTCATAACCTTCCACATGCATACAACTGAAGCCAACACTTCATTGGGTTTTATAATAAAAATGTAACCCCTAACTATGTACAACAGTATTAAAAAGTAGATTGCAATGCACAATTAATAAATATGACATCTAAAATCAGAAATACGCATTTTGATATTGTATATAAGTTTTAAGGGGCGTGTTTATATGCGCAATGTTTTGTCCAGCATTTTAGAAAATCTAAGCAGGTTGGAAATAATATCTCTTCTCTTCACATTCATTTCTTCAGGGTATACAGGGTGATTCATTAATAATAGGACAGAGCTTAAGGGCATGTTACTGACCTCAAAATAGAGCGATTAAGCCAAATATGCCTTATCCGAATGTTGTTCCTTTTCGATCTATAGGGTGTTTAAGTTGAAAAAATATTTTCGATTTTTTTAAATATCTTGAGCATCTTTGAACGGATTGTCTTGAAAGTTTGTACACCCATGTTTTCTGAGATGGTAGTTACGGAAATGGTAACTATTTTGCAATCACATTTAGGATGCGCTAGTTGTAGTGTTCCGTCTGAGTAAACATATGTCAAACTTTTTTGTCCTTCAAAAATCTGAATTTCCAATAAGAAATTATTAAACTACGTTCAATTCTAAATAAAAAAGATATACCTGTTAAAAATCGATAAACTTAACCGTTTTCGAAATAAGAACGATTTACTATTTCTTTACAAAATTACTTGTTTGAACATACGCCTTTAAATAAGATGACTTAAATGAAGTAGGCCGCTGTCAATGAAATGTCATGTATGTACTAAAAGTGCGATTTCCTGTCTATAAAACGCCAGCCATAAGTAAAATAAATGGCACTAGTAAAAATCTAATGTAAACCTCAACACTTATTTCGAGAATCATGTGAATAATTGAGTATCGCATTTAGCTAGATACAAATAGCAGAACACATTATTGCCAAAACCATTTCCGGAAAGTAATATCAACAAGAAGACCATAAACATTTTTATAAAAAAAAATTTTGGCATATCGTATGGTCTAAACAAATACTTATTTATACGACTCTTTTCTTCCTACATGTTCGACTCAGTAAACAATAAATATATGTATACTTTTAATATTTATCAATATTATACTGTTTATTTGTGTTTTATAAATTGGAAAAGAAAAAAGACGCTAACGTAATATTCATATGATTATATATTATTTATTGTACACCCTCAGAATTTATTACTCAAAATATCATACGTCCTTTAGCAATAAAACTGTAGTAACCCTGCTAGTCATATTTACTTCAAGTTTTTTTTTAATTCATATGAAATATACCAACACTTTCCCTATCTAAATAATAATTTCATCACGGACGGTGGAAAAGGAGACACACAAATAAATAACCATAAATAGGAGTTTAAAAAAATAACAAAGGAATAAATCACCAGCATTAACAAATCAACACAGTGTTTGTGTAGCTCAGTAATATTTATCATTATTTAAATGATCCAATATTTTATTGGATTATGTCCCTTAAAAGTGTCTTAACTCGGAGCAAATTTATACTGAGTAATACCGGTACTTTCATGTGTCACATCGTATTAGCAGGCAAATCAGTTAGATTTATCAGAAGGTAACGTCAATGCAGTCAGTCTGGCGTTCTAAAAATATCTCTAGGTTTATATTCCGTAAAATTAATCTTTTCTGCAAATTAATGTGAATTTATTAGAGGAAAAGCTACGGTTGTACAAGGACTTAGCGACATGTTTATAATAGATTTATAAACATTAGTTTATTTGGATAAGATTAAGTTCTACTTGGAAATTTTCGCCATATTTTGCTCAGGTTTCGGGTGAAAGGTATTCGGAAAGAAAAAAATAATTAGAAAAGTCTAATACTTACCAAATGCAATGATAACTATTGTTCTAATCATATTTGACAACACCACTACATCTAAATGAGCCGAGTAATTTTCTAAGCATGGGTATTGTGACCCATACAATGATTGACATTGAGCCTTTCCTGTATTTACCAAATATAATTTAGCATAATATAAAAACAGATCAAAGCGATATTCATCATTTGAGAGAATATTCAGAATCACACTGGAATAAATGGAAGTGGAATTTTACAAATTTTCCTAAATCAAATAACAACTAAAAAGAACCAACGTTCACAGTTTTTTTTATTTGGAGAAAACAGATTTTTCAAATTTGCAAATTTTAAGCCACTACGATTTTTTTACTTTTTTCAAAATTATGTTAGAATTTTTTTATCTGAAATTTTTCACCCCTTGATTCCTGATAATTTTCAGTTTTTTTTTCTGTATTACTATCGAAAAAAAAATGCAAATTGCACTTTTGCACTGACCTTTTATAAATTTCTTGCAATTTAAGCTTTTATGAAAAAAATTGTAGTAGACAAAGGGCATAAAAATTATAGTTTTTAAAAAATTGGCAGATAAAATTGTAGCAGGTTTAAAATTTTCAATTTAGAGTAATATACTTTTATTTTAAAGAATTTAGAGAGAAGTTTTTATTTTTTATGTTAATCAATAGCTAAGATCATGTGTCAATGTTCTATTGACCAGGTTGAAATCGGCAGATTAGTTGTTTCCTACATATTATTAATTAAAAACCAGATGTCGCCTAGCGGTGCTGATCTGTTTGCTTTCATAGTTTTCGCTTAAAAAGGGTATACTTAGGTAAAACGCATATGATCAGAGATTTTTGCTTTAACGGCTTCTAAATAACATCAGAAATGATAATTTTTCTATGCAAATAAAAAAACGTGGGCTTTATTGTTATTGCAATAATGTATAAAAAAAAACAAAAAATAATCATTTTTTTCTTGGATTTCTTGTCGACAACTTAGCAACTATTCATTTTAGACAAAAATGGAAAATGAAAAAAAGTTTTGTAATTAAATTTTGAACAAGATAGAGATAGAGATAGAGAGAGAGTTAAATTTAAAAAAAAATAATTATTGTTATTGCAAAAATCGGAAAAATCATTTAAAAAATTGCAAAAAACGCTAGTTTATTTGTCAATTTTTTCAGACACTTGAATAATACCTAGGATCTCCATACTTTTTCCAATTAAACTTCTTAGTGCATAGAATCATCACACCAAATTTCATCCAATTCGGTTATATAGTTTTTATATAATAATTGTTTAAATTCTTTATTTTTTTTATTAAAAAATTTTCTAAATCAAATTTCTAAAAATCTAAAGCCTTTGAATACTTGAAAATTTCATCGCAAAAAGAAGAGCTCTCAAGCTTTAAAATGGTTTTTGAAAAATTCAAATCGGACTATTAGGTGAGCCGTGGTGATTGTTTAAACATTTTCGCAATTTTCACGCTTATAAACAGTTGCAATAATTTAATGTTTTTTAAATTTTTTTTTAATTTTAAAATATGGTTTGAAAGTACTCGAAAAGACGAGTTTAAAAAAAAACTGACGATCCGCCCATTATTTTCGGATAACCCGTTAAAGTTAACCCTTATTTACAGTAAAATTGTAAGGTTATAAGGGCTGTTTTTTGAACTAATAGGTTTGTCATTCCGAGTACTTTCTAGATATAAATTTTCAAAATTTGCAATCACGGGCGTCCCATTTAAAATGCCACTCAAAGATATTCAAGACCGCGTGAAATCAATGAGGTATCAGTGGTGGCGGGAGCAAACACACAGGTACTCCGATCTGAATTCTCGAGTTCAAAACTGCGACGCTCGGAAAAATTTCACGTATCTCAGCTTCTAATGGACCAATTTTCACTTATCTGAATTTAAACATATATTTTTTCTAACATAACAATCATTAATTGTTTGATTGATAATAGAAATTTTAGAAAAAAAATGAAGGTCATGTGCATGTAATAAAGAATTTACCGCTAAATTATGAACTACATCATTTATTAATAGACTGGATAATATGGGACCAAGGATTGAACCTTGAGGCATTCCCACTATGGCTTCTAGTTCTACAAATTTTTTATTATGGTCCGTTGTTGAAAAATAATATTTGATCAGGTTTATCAAACTAATAAAAAAACAAAAGAAATCTGTCTGCTAATAATATTCCCTCATCAACTCTAGTGCAGGCTTTCAAAAAACAGGTGGTAAATAACATTATTATTGGAAGAAATAAGTTCAGTTATACAAAATAAATTAGTTATTTTTGTTGACACTCAGTACGTCATACTTCTTGTATGGAAAAAATATCAAATAGGAACATTTCAATGAAAATTTTGACTTCAGACAGGGCATATCGATATTAAATTTCATTATTTACTTTCAATGATAAAAATACAGGGTGTCCGCAAATTTCACTGACAACGTTTGACTGCATATTCACGATGAATAAATAAATACGATCTACGAAAAAAAAAGTTAAATAAAAACTTTTGGGTTTTTGAGTTACAGGCCTTCAAAGTTGTCAAAAATAAAACTAATTTAATTAATAACTTCATAACCCTTTTGCCGATCGCGTTAAAATTTGGCATATTTATTTGGACTATTATAGTGCATTATTTCTTATAGCTTTAGTCAAATCGATATACTGGCTGATAGTTTTCTCCTGTTACCTCTCCCTTTTAGCGGTCAAAACATTTACAGTGGTCGTATTTTTTTTTAACTAACAGCAACACTGAAAAGGTCGTTTTATTTAAAAAAAATACTGTCCCTTGAGAAAATCGCCTACAGAAAGCCATTCTTGAGAAAAATGGCATTATTTGCAGGTTTGTGCGTTTCGGTTTGCGTAACAGTGTCACTGTTATCGGTGAAATTTGCGGACACCCTGTATATGGAACGTATAAGAAAAGTAAAATTTTCAATTTTTTTGGAATATTTCAGGACAATAAGACATTTTTTTACAATCTAGAAACTTTTTCGTGTAATTTAACTAAACCAGTTTAGAAGGATGATAAACACAGACATCGACATAGAAACGTAAACAGGAACAATAATTTATTTTCTGGCTACACATTGTTGAATGGATATTTTTCCAATCAGAATATGAGAAATATTTACTCAATTATTTATCAGCTTTGTCACACCTATATAAAGTTACCGGACGAAATATTTTTGGATAAACTTGTCAGATTAGATTTTTCGTCATTAAATGCAAAGGCCATTGTTGCACTAATACTAGGCGTTTAAAGCATATAAATCTCCTAGTGTATCTTTAGACATAGATTTTTATATTGATGCAAAAGATTCCATGACGCAAACCAGTACTTGGAGTCTTTTATTTATTTAAAAAATTTACTACCTATAATCCTACAGTCGCATAAAGATAACCCTATCTTTACGGGCAGATAATGCTGAAAATTTACGTTTACCGAATCGAACTTTTCAATATTCATTGCATTCATAACGTTTTATTTTCCCATTCCCGCTGAACGAAAAGGTTGTATAGATTAGCTACCGATTTGTAGCTGCCAGCAGGTCATAAGCAGCGGTGAAAAAAGTGCATGCACTTCCATTTTCGAAATTAATTGCATAAAGGCTAAAGGGTTGATGTAAACACATCGCGTGCCCAACAGAGGCCGATGTGGGCAGCGATAAGGGCGTTAATACTATTCGGATCAGATTAGGGTAGAAGTTGTACATTGTACAATGACTGTTTACACTCTGTAAATTCATCCTGCTATCACACAGAACTTTTACTCAACCTTATTTGAAAAATTATTATATGCTGTCTTTTACACCTTATCAAAATCGTAAAATAATTGTTTCAGGCATATGAAGTTTCTAACGCTTAGTCCAGATCTGCAAACAATGCTCACATGCAAATGTTTCAAACGAATTCCCGATGCAAAGACAGAAATTTGCCGACTAATAAGAACAAGCGTTAGTGAGATGTTTCTTGTTTGTCCCTAAACAAAAGTTTATGGGCAGAAGTGGTATGTCCACATCAGAAAATAATAATAAGAATTTTTGCAGATTAGTAAGTAAGTAATAGTACATTACACCAAGGTAGAGAAGTATGCCATTATAGCTGAGGCACCAAGATTAAAATACCGAGCCGCAGGCGAGGGATTTTGAGGTGTTGAAGCTATAGTGGCACTGTTCTCTACCGTGGTTTATAGGTATAGTATTTTTTCTACTACTATCTACTACACCTTAAATTGAGTTTCAATAATTGATAGACTAGGCGGTATCTGTTTTGGTTTGGGTGAATCGTATATCCACGGAGATTTTTGGCTTTGTTGCTTTCAAATATTACTAGAAATGAAAATTTTTCTATGTGCATAAAAAATAGCGTGGTCTTAACTTTTGACGGCACAATATGTTAAAAAAATTCGAAAAATGTCATATTTTTCTTCCTATTTAATTATGTATCTTTTCCAGAGTTGATTTTAGGCAAAAATGGAAGAGGAAAAAAATGTTTGTAATTAACTTTTACAATATATGACTAGTTACAAATCGAATGAATCACGATTATAATTGTAAAAATCGAAAAAATCGCCAAAAATGAGGTTAAAAAACATTACTTTTTAGGGAATTTTTTTGGAATCCTTAAGTTGGGTATAGGACTTTCATACTTGGCTCAAGAAAAGTTCATGTTACGTAGAATCATCACATCAAATTTCATCAAAATCGGTTAGATAGATATTGCATAATAATTTTGCAATCTAGATTTTGAAAAATAATTTGCAAATTTTCCAAATTTTACACAGCAAAATCCAAGGCCCTTAGATACTTGAAAATTTAATCACATATAGAAGGGCTCTCAAGTTTTCAAACGCTTTTTGAAAAATTCGAATCCGTCAATTAGGAGAGCTCTGGCGCTTGTTTAAACATTGGTTGAATTTTTGTACTTATAAACAATTAGAATAACTTTGTGAATTTTCAATCAAATCAAATTTTTTATAGCATTTTTTAAAAGTTATTGGAAAGACGCTTCTTTAAAAAGCAAGCACCAACATTG